TATGATTATTAAATATTAAGTTTTTATTTCTAAATTGATCAGTCTCCACTTCAAGGTTTGAAAATTTTACTTTATCAATTGAAAACGGGGAGAAGGGTAAATGCCAATCATATCCACTCCCGGCCATTCACTTTCTGTGATGTAAGCGGCAGATGCCAAAAACTTGTCTACACATTCCACGTGTCACAACAAAGTACCACGTGCTATAAAACAGTTGCTATGAACACACTCTGACTAGCACGTGACTAGCACGTGACAGTCACGTGTTATCTATTACTTCCTGGTAAATTCTGTAGTCGCTGTCTGCTCAGATTGTGCAGGCTTGCTTTTTGCTTTGTCGTGGTGTTAGCGCCAGTCTTTGTTCCTGTTAACCTCACACTTACATTTATACACTCAGTCCACTCAATTACAGTCTACTCAATTAACATTTTAAATTTCACCCTGAATATCTTATAATTATTTGTGTACTATTTTGAGATGGATTTAATTAACAGGGTGTATTTGAAGGGGTTTAAAGTTGGAAATTTTCAGTAATAAATAATACGGTATATATGCATACGGTATATATGGGATGTTAAGTTTGCTTTTATTATGTTTTAAAAGCAGTGTTATTAAACTTCAATTCATTAATATTATTATCTTTAATAATACCAAAAGAGCTTCTGATGTCCCCCTCATATTCAATTCTTTTAGAAAAGAGCTTCTGTTTTATGTCACGTCAAACAAAATACAACTATCTAATTGGTTAGTTTGTGTCACGTGACTAAAATACAGTTCCCTGATTGGCGAGTTTACATCACGTGCCCTCAATACAACTCGTTGATTGGATGTGTTCCAGCATTTCTCCTTTTAAAGTATAACCACGCTTCAACAATAAATAAGAAATGGTCCTATCCTCCATAGTGTTCCACGAGCGTCCTCCCGCGGATTGGTTGGTTTCTATTGTTCTGACACTTCTTTTCTGGTGTTATAAGTTAGTATTAGGCTCTGGTGTTATTATTAGCTCTGAGTTCTGCTTGGTCCTCATTTACCTGATTCCTTGCCGTTGTCTCCCGTCCGATTCAATCACGTCAGATCTTACCCGCGTGACGGAGTAGCTGGTAGCACCACACTGTGTAGTGTGACGTGTGTACTGTGTAGTGTGTATAGACTATATAGACTATAGATCCAGCACAGTTGATTACCACACGTGACATGAAGAGACGAATACTTCTAGCTCAGGCTCACCAACATTCTAAATCTTTGGAGGATATACAGCTCACTGTTCACCAGAGATCAAGGATAAAAGTACCCTGGAAACTAAAGAAGGTATTTTAACTATCTTAGAAATTAATGTCCTTCAAAAATACTTTCAACAACTTTCTTTTAACCAGATTAAATCTACATTTACTGAGGCTTTGTGTAACATCACGCCATGTGTTTGACGTGTGTTAGACTCGTACATGTTGGCTGGTTAACTATTGATACATTTTAAACCTGATCTTTGTGTTGTTAACCTAATATTCAACAAACACGTACCATTGTTAGCAAAGTTCTGGTTAACCACGTACCATCCTAAGCAAAGTGTTCTGGAAGATTAATTTCCCACTAGAAATATCAGTTTCTTAGTATCCGCCTGTCAGCTCGACTGATTTTATACTACTTCCTTCACAGCCAGACTACAAATTAACATATGATGACATATTGTTATTCATGGGTTTACAAGTATTACATTACACACACCAGACCAGTTCCCTCAGGCTACACTGTAATAGGGCCAGGTCTTCCTCCCCCAGGTGCATCACCTGACCAGCGCTGCTGTGCTCTGATTGGTTGATTTCCAGGTCACGTGACCAGCGCTCTGCTCTGATTGGTGGATTTCAGGGTCACGTGATCAGCACAGCACGGTGATTAGCCAGCTCACTTCACGTGATGTGTTTATGTGGTCTCATGAGGAGTAGAGCCCCGTTCTTTCTCTTTATATTACAGTGTACTACACTACACACTATATACTTGTTATATTCAATGTGCTCGAATATTCTGTTCTTGCTCCGTGTTGTAGTTCCGTCTCATAGAGTTGTTCTCTGAGATGGAGTAGTATGTCTCAGAGTTTGTCTCAGAGTTTGTCTCTGAGTATGTCTCTGAGTTTGAGTAGTTACAGTTAGTAGTTGCAATAAAGTTTTATTTACAGTTATATCAGAGAGTACCTTCATGTGAGGACACTATGATAGTATAACTATATAATAGTTTTAACTAAAGTTGTAATATAACACCTATTTACACTCGAGTGAACTGTAGTCTTTGTTATCCTACTATCTCCCAGCTTATTTAACGGTCCCCTCACAGTCAGTGTTGTAGGCCCCAGTTCTTAATTAGTGTTTACGCCGTGTTGAAAATATCGCTCTCTTTATTGTTATATCTTGAAAGCTCCAGAAAGTTCTAGAATCTACCAGAAAAAGAGACAACTTCTACAAGATGTCTCGGTACAGACTGTCGGAAAGCAACTTGTCTACAGAATCCGCTCCTTTCCAAGACAGCTTCCATTTTATACAGGTACTTAACAGGTACTTTACAGGTAGTTTACAGGTACTTTACTCGGTATTCTACATAATATCACTCCAATATTATGATCTATACAGTTAACACTTCACCGGTTACCTCCCGAGTTTAAACCACATGTCTACAATACAACAGCATCTAAAGTAAATATTAATATAACAGTGTTACCACTCAGTACAGACTGTCCCTTCTACACCACAGAGAACACACTGTATAATAATAGTAGTGTGCCAGTGGAGTAAATGTAATTCGTAAATTCGGAGGAGAACAAATATCTTTGAGTTACAAGGGTCTATTAGAGACCAGTATCTTCCAAATTATAACGATGTCTCTTCGTTTCGAGTTCTGATTACGCTGCCTCTCCAGGTCAAACTGTTACTCTCATATTCTCATTTCTCTTCTAGTAGTAGTTTGGATCTAGTTCAGTTTATATTTCTCATGTTCTTCTGTTGTGAGGTTATGAGGACTGGTTGTGGGGAGGGATTGTATTACCACGTGTCAGGGTTCTTATCTGATTGAACACGATTCCCTCGTCACGTGCAAGAACACGAGCTAATCTCTCGTCACGTGCTAATCTCTGTTTTAATTCCAGCCTACTCTTATATCATCTTACTGTAATACTGCTACTTCTTATCACCTACAGATGGTTTTAGATCACCTTGCATATTTATGCAGGGATACCTTTGATATTCATATTCAAATTTTTGTTTTCTTGAATACAATATTTTATATTACCAAGAATGTTAAATTTGGGACATCACACCTCCTAGGTTCTTAATAAAATATGTGTTTACAATTTACATCACGTACAACACGTCGCGTACAACACGTCACTTACAACACTATGATTTAACTATTGTTGCGTAGTAACTCTGATACAATTTACTCGTCACCAATGATGTAATTCCTTCTCCAGAGTTCTTGCTGTTTCTCATTTCTACTTTTTACTTTTCACTGTTTTATGTAACTCATCAGTCGTGCCGGGTGGTATTTCTGATCTTGTTTATTTCTTTATGACTGTTAATCTTTTATATACATTATATTTTGTTGTTGTTCTATATTTAAAAAAATTCAAGTTCATAGTTAAAAACGTATCTGTGTTGTTAAGAATAACTTCATATTTCTCATACTAATTTGGGTGGTGGGTGGTGGGTGCTGGGAGTGTAAGGGGAATGGTGTAAGGAGTATAGAACGTGATATTACTATTAGAATGATATACCAGGTGGCGTGTTGCCAACTTATTGGTATTCTAATCTGCAGAGGAATTCAATATATCGGCCTGGTGCTAATCTACCTTCTGCAGCGGAATCAGATACCTTAAATTCCAGCATGTCTTCAAAATGGCATGATATTGATTTTCTTCTTATTTCCTTCATTCGTTTCACCTTCACGTGACACGTAGGCTCCATTTAAATGTTTTTTACTTCTTTTCTGTTTCGGCTGAATTTCTTCAAATAGGTGCCTAAATTGATAGTTGATATCTGAACTGCATCAGATTTTAATAAAGTGTAGATTTATCTAGCGTATAGTTTGTTTAGTATGTTTTTAGATTTAATAAAACCTAAAATTGCAACAGTCGGTGTTATAGTTTGTATTCATCAGATTTATGGTGTCGTTAAACAAAACGGAGAAATCTCGGACATCTTCTGATGCCTCTCGTCGCTCAAATGGTGTCTCCATAGAAGATGCCGTCACCAAAAATCGTGATGACGTCACTAAGAGACGACATGACGTCATCAAAAGGCGCCCTGTGAGCGAGGTTATAAAACAGACTGTCCCCTCGCGGCGATCTTCAGCTGAAATCACTTCTTCCTCCAGTTTCTCCGGTAACAGCTCTAATCACCATGGTGACGCTTTCAGTTACCATAGTGACACCTCTACTTTCCCAAGATCAACATCTTTAGGCGTGAGACCCAAAACAGCTGGTGAGAAGTTAGTGAACAGCGACCTGAGACAGAGAACTGGCTCCCTCAAGATAGAGAAAGTGTTGAACAGAGAGCTGAGGGGTGGTTCTGTCAAGTTACCTCATGATCTGAGGAAGAAGAAGAAGAAACCAGTAATTAGTGGACCGCTGTATATCGAGCCAATAAACGGAAGGGAGTTTAAGAAGTCGCCTCCCTTCTCTAAGAGAGATCTTGGTAATCTTCCTATGAGACAAGAGTCATTCTCTGCCTTCCTAGAACAGGAAGTGTTCCTTAGTAGTGTCATGCTAGCTCAACATCAACAAAATAGAGAGCACCTCCGTGGGGTAAGGGAGTTTCTTGGACCTGTCTGTGTGTCTGTATGTATGTGTGTATGTGTGTCTGTATGTGTGTGTGTGTGTGTGTCTGTCATCCCAACAGGTGAAATTGAAATTCTGTTTAGAGAATATTCAATGTCTTACAGGAGTAGAACGTTTAACTGATATGAATTTCAATGAATTCAGAATACCAGGATAATTCTGACCTTTATCTCATCTGCAGGTGCCCTCTGATCATGGACCACGCGCTACGGAAGCTATATCGTTTAATGAAGAGGATGACACGTGCGCTTGTGTGTCTCACTATGACAACGAACATCTTAACCAGGTAACCTCCCCTCCAAGTACCTAACATTATACCCCGCCCCATCTATAACTCCATATCATTTCCTCCCCCATGTATTTCATACTATGCCCTCCTTCGAGTTTTTGATTAAATATCCCCTCTTCCAAGTATTTTATACTAAGAAAATTGTTAGATATCCTTCCTAACCATCCTTCCTAAACTCAGGAGTTTGATCTCAGTATAGAGAAGCTGTATAAATCTCTATTCAATGACGAATCTGTAGTACAGTCCAAGATGAGAACCCTATTAAAAGCCGAGGACTACGAAGCTACCTCCTGGCACGACTCTGAAGAGGGGGCTAGCGAGCGGACACTAACTTACCGTGTACCACTCAACGCTAACTTGGGTCCTAAATGGGCTGAGGTCATTGAAAAACAGGTGACTTGTGGGTGAAAATTAATGAACCAGTTTATTTTGTGATTTAACATTTTAAATGCAGGAGCGAACCATGTTAAATGTGACATTTAAAAAGCTAGTTGTGATTGTGATGTTAACCAGCTCCCTCTATCCCAGGTGCTGACTACAACCAGTGTAGCTGCTAAATGTTATGTTATAAACTGCGAAGTAACCAATCCCAACGTCCCGTACGGAGACAAGTTCAACATAGTGAAACGCTACTGTCTGACGCGCGGTAGAGACAACACTTGTAAACTCAGACTCACCAGTGATGTGCAGTACAAGAAGGGAGTCTGGGGCATGGTCAAATGTAAGTCAAACACAAGGATATTGTTTATAAGGTACATGAAATTAGATCTAATTATATTATATTTCACAAGGTACGTTAAACCAGATAGCAAGGATATATTTAACAAGGATAGTAATAAAGTTAGGTGAATAACAAATAAAGCTGCCAACTGTATGACCAGTAGATAAGGTGACCAGGACACGCCCCAACTTGTCTCTTATCTGAAAGTATCACTTCTAAACAACTCACAATCACACCATCTCTCAAATATAATATTCTTCTAAGTTAAACACTCCGTTCAGGTTAACTTCACATCACCTCACTCACCAGATCGTATCAATCTGACCATCAGTTCGCACTTCTCACTGGGCAGCTTGTGTTGGGTTTGTCACTCTCGTTGTGGGTGTGTTCGTGTTTATTTGTCTGCTTGCATTTCCTCCTAAACTTGCCAACTTGGTTTCGTTTTCCAACTGATTAGTCCTCTCTCGACTCATCTGGTTTTAAGTTACCTTATCTTAACAGATTGCTGGTGATTTTATCAACCCTTGATATAGTGCCTGTGCTTATTATACATGATAATCTGTTTCTAAAGAAACTAGATCAATGTTATACTGGTTTTACAGTCTTTATTGCCGTCTTCCCCTCTTGTCTCTTGTTGCTAAAACAATGCAGTGAAAACGTAGTAGTTAGTTTTCTGTGAAAAAAGTTTGTTTGCCACAACACACTCTACAGTAACTCACAGTGAAATGACCACAAGACCTACGAAAACTGAGCTTAACACAACAGTTCCTAAAACTGAGCTTACTAGAGCTGAGAAAGCTGAATTTCGGCGTGATAAAATGGCACGTGACAAGCAGTTTAAACGAGCCAAGAAAGGTCACGTGACAGTTAGAAGGAGACCTCACTCTGACAATTACTTCAAGGGCCACATATACGAGAGTAAGCATCAACAACAAAAAGCAACATGCTAGTACCCCCCCCCCCTCCCCCTAGTGCCTAGTATCCGGTTTCAGGCTGTTAATCATAGCAGGCGGTGTTATTATAATACAGATTGCTGGTTATTTGCTAGTAATAACAGTAGGTTAACAAATAACAGGATTATAGCAGGCTAATAACAATATATTTTTATAAGTCACAATAATTCTCACCGTCAAATCATCATGTTTCGTACAATACATAATATATTTACATTGAAGTCTGTATAGTGTATATAACCACATTAACACGCCCTTATTTCAGCTATAATAGAGAAGAACAGTAAAGAAGGAATAAAGGAGTACTGTGAAGATCTGTGTATGTGTCTTCAGGAAGAGAGCGCAGGACCGGGTATCAAGATAAGGAAGTCAGCAGTTTCCGGAGGAGCTCACACCTCCGCCGCATCTACCAGACTCCCACGTGCACGGTCTCACGCCGCGCTCCCTGACAACCAGTCTCGCGCCACAACCGCTGTCTCTTTCGTTACTGACAACTACATTGCCTTCGTGCTTCTCATGTTAGTTCATTACAAATCCCAGTCTTAAGTGCTCTGTATTCATAAATATTGTTATTGAACGATTATTTTTGAACTCATTGATGGTTGGTTATCTAGAACTGTGGTTTCTTTCTCCTAACTTTATTTCTCCTCAGGATGGCAGTGTTAATGGTGTTGAACCTGGTACTAGTCTACAGACTATCTTCTATCACCAGCAGCTGTAACAACCAGTTTGATATACTCAGCAGGTTTGTTTATATCAATTAATTATGAACAGATTTAAGACTTATTATGAACCTTTTTAAAACTAACCATGAACTTATTATGAACTAATTAATAAATAATAACTAATTAGATACTAAATATGAATTAATTACAGTTTACCGCAAAGCGAGGAGGGCAAGTCAGAGTGGATCAGGATACTATCTCAACAACAAGATCTCCACAAAAAAGAAATACAACGCTGGCAAGACGTCCTCAGGTAATTAAGTGAGATAAACAGATAATTATAGCTTTATAGTAAATAGTTAATTTAAGCTAATTCAATCATAAGGTTATAATATGGTGAAGTGGTTAATTCTCGATATTTAACATGTTTAATAACCATCTACACTCTTCAGGTGGATTTCCAAGCTAGTATCTGAAGTGCACGGTTCTCTCGAAAAGTTACAAAAGTCCTCCATTTACATGGGCAGTTCTGGTTACCATGACACCACTGGCAGTAACTGGGATACTTCAGACAAAACAGATTTGTAAAAACGGAGATTTTAGTCCTGCTGCACACGAGACACTTCTAATTGTTGAGAACTAGATCAGTAATCACCATGGTAACCAGTAATCGCTGTTACCGTGGTTATGGCTGTGGTTCTGTAATCCGACAAGAAGTGTGTTGCCTCCCCCACCCTAACCACCAGTATGCTAGTGTGTCATTTATGTGCCATCATTGACACTCCAACTTTCATTCGATTTCAATTTTAATTCTTAAAAAGGTTCGTTGATGATATTCACTAGCCAACCTAGTACTTTTACGGGACAATTTGTGTTAATAATTGTGTGATCATTACATTGGTTTATTAATTTATCAAGATTTTTGCTTGTTGAGGAAGCTGACTTTCATAACTGTGTTGATTTTTGTACATTTGTTAAATTATTTATTGAACAAAACTGAGCTTTTATTCGTCACAAGACGCTGAAATTCGCTGATGAATGATAAAATATATTTGAGGGAGATTGTTCGAGAATGACTTTGTAACAATTAGATATTTGAGAGGGCTCAAATTTAGGGACACTGTACGAGATTGACTTTGTAATACAATTGTATATTTTACCCCCGACTATGTAAATACCCCATAGATAAATAAGAGATTTGAGTCAACATTGCCCAATGCCCATAATGCTGAAGCTTGACAAAACTAAGTTTTAGGGAAGTATGGATTATAATCACGGATTTAACAAAAAAGAGAAACTATCATGTACGATATGGAAGGGTTGTGTGATTTTATAACTTTGATTTGAAACCTGTACAGTGAACGATTTGTTTGACTCATCTCTAAATTCGAATACCAGTCCAGGAAAAATGTATAACTTAGTGTGAACGACTCCGCTAAAAATCCGTCCCGTGATAATACTCTATCTAAAGATCTGAGATTGAACTAGTAAAACTAAAAGCCACTGCCATTCAATGGGAATATCACGCGATAGGAATAGTTTTTCGGCCACCATTGTATTCGCCATTGAAGCCTGTTGTGGGGGTCATTCGAAAAGAAGTATTTTCGTGCGGATCCAACTGTCAACCGTTCGTGGCAGACGATTACTCAATTAGCTGGAAGTGGACAAACATGAGGAGATTTTTTGAGCAAGAAAATTTTCCCGGATAAACTGGAATTATGCCAATTTTCTGGAATCAGCTGAGATAAACTTAGATAGAAATGTAACGTCGCACTATAACACATACGTTAAATCATATACGGGCGTACGTATTACGTAACGTACGCGCGTATGTGGTCTAACGTGCGCGCGAAGTTGTATATCCTCTCACCATTGCCGTGGCGTTGCGCGTTACGTTTAAGTAGCGTCAAATTTACTCCACATTTTCTTAAATGAGCTGTCTTGCGCATCTATTACTACCTTACTCGGGATTATTATAACCGGGATAAAGTGGTGGGTTTTGGAAGATTCCGCCATATTTTTCCCGGTCAAACATTTTACCAGTCATAAAAAAACCCGCCGACTCAGATTATGGGGTTCCAAGGGGGTGGTGATCATCATATTTTACCTGAAGTCTCATATGTGCTAGAGAAGACTTTTGAAGCAGTGGATGGAGGGCTGTAACTTTATTGGCGGTTGCTACCATAATTTCGTTATAAAAATCACAATTTGGTTATAGAAATCAGATTTCAGGGTGGACCGTGATTCTCACTTTTCTTGCCCATGAAGTGAGTAAACTGTGCCACTATTTCATGGTCCACGGTGGATTGATTACTGGAGCAGTTGAAGATGCAAAGCCAAGACGTTCCCCAATACCAAGCGGTGGGCAGGAAATTAAGCTCCGGCTGACCTTCAGAGCAGTAGCCCCATTAGCGGACAAAATGAAAGTCTTGTTAAGACAACAATACAACTTCGAATTTGACGGTCAGCAGCAGGGGGATATCAATAATGATAATGGAGGGGACATTAGCGATAATGAGAATGAGAATACGCTTTAATGAAGATTTGACTTATTATTGCTATAGATTTATTTTCCTTTAAATACTAGAAGTGTCTTTTTTTCTATTTCTGAGTAATATTAGTAACTGTAAATTGAAATAACTTCTTTAACAAGCAACAAAAACAGAAATTTCGGTTGAAAATTTGTTGACCTCTGAAAAAAAACTTGAAAGGTCGGCCACCGGTAAATACATGACCGGGATAATTTGGCGGGTTTTGGGAAATTCCGCCATATTTTTCCCGGTTATTAATTTTCCCAGTCATAAATTAACCCGCTATAATATTCCCGAGTAAGGTAATAGAGTTAATCCGGAGAAGTCATTTCTGAGAGCATATCAATATTTTGGAAATTATCACTTTTTGTGAGATTGGTCTGGTCAAAATTACTCGTGATTTTATATTGAAAGTAGTAATTACACTTGTCTTCGACCGATTCTATAAATAGTTAATTAAATATTCAGGCATTCCAACGCTTACAAAACGTTAAATGAAAAAAAAAAGGATAAATCGATTTAGATCTTTACATTTCTGACAATTGCACGCTGCAAAAAGCGGTCATTTATATGATGTCACATTGAGTCGAACTCTAAAATAAATTCGACATAAAACTAGCGCATTAACTTTGTACAGAATACCCCTCTATAAGTTGAGCGAGTTTGTTTATTTAATAACAATGAAGTTTCCACGTTTTAAGTAGTCTATAGAATGACAGCGAGGACGAGAGATAACACAACAGAGATAGCCACCATTGACCACCCACTTTTGTACACTTCTGCTATCCCAAAGCCTTTGCCCAAATCCCACGCCTGATTGAAAATATATTTTGTTAGTTCAAATTTATAAAACGGAAAAAATGAAATTCACCAGTCTCCTACAATTAAGTTAAGAAAATGTAACTTTGGGTCTTACCAGATGTCTGAAACCGTTGACACTGTGGTACATAAGGGGGAGGAGTAGGAGAGCTTTGAGCGGCACCATAACCCCTGCTCCGGGAGCATACTGTTCAAGTAAGTGGACATAATGAGAAAATCCACCAGGCAACACAGTCAGTACCGTAGCTCCGTATATCACTGAAATTAACATTATACAGGGTGGCCCATGATAGTCTACCCATCCTTATTTCTGAAAATTGTTACAGGTCGCTGAGATCTTGCTAATTATTTTATTTCAGAATGGAAAAGCGCCATAACTTACGTTCTGATTAATATTTTTGCTTCAAATTTTTAGAGAATGTCAATCATAATTAGACACAACTTCGTGCTAAGTTTTGTGTGAGTCTGAGCTTGTCTGACAAAATTAGCTCCTGAGTGCGCTAGCGTTAATTTCTCACCCAGAACTGTTTACATTGGTTAATAGAAACCACCAAAAAAAATCCTGGGTAAAAAAATTAAAAAACCACCGATTTATTTATGTTTTACCAATTCTATTCACCACGATGCATCGCACATTCCATTCTCTACACTGCTGTACAGTGTACATCCTATATTTTAACTGATAAGGACTATCACAGATGATCCTTCCTGCTTGTTTATATCGTTCTGCTCACTTGCCTTAACAAATTTAAAATTATAGCTGGATGATTAGCCTACAATTTTATCGATACTGAAATCAATTGAATTGCGTTTCTCGGCAGGCACCACGAGAAGGTTCATCCATTGCCCGCCGTGTTGGCGATTAAAATCACCGTTTGTGTTGGCGATTAAAATCACCGTTTGTGTTGGCGATTAAAATCACCGTTTGTGTTGGCGATTAAAATCACCGTTTAGAGAAGGTGCTCAATGTGACCACCGCCTCGGCTCTTCAGGACGTCCATCCTCTTGGCTACTGATAAACAGGAGTTCTGGCAGTGAGTGATGGGAATGTTCCGCAAGTTGTCACGAATGACAACTTCTAAAGCAGCAAGGTTGGGGATGGGTAGACTCTCGTAGATCTTATCCTTCAACCATCCCCACAGGAAGAAGTCGCAAGGAGTGAGGTCAGGAGAGCGGGCTGGCCAGTGTTGAGCAAGTTTCTCTCCGATCGTCATGCTCCCAAACTGGTCACCAAGGTAATCAATAATGCGGTTGGGGATGTGCACTCTCGCCCCGTCCTGCATAAAGCTCATGAGAGACGGATCCAGGTCGTGGTGTGCACAGAAGTTGAAGAGTTCTGGTATGAAGAAGCTCTGCAACATCTGTAGATAGCGATCTCCGTTCACAGTTACAGTGGCACTAGCTGCATCCTTGAAGAAGTATGGTCCGATGATTCCGTGAGAAGAGATCGCACACCAGACGTTCAGCTTTGGAGAGTTCTGAGTAGGTCTCTGCTGCACGCTGTCAGGTCTCTGGCTGCCCCAGTGTATTGCGTTGTGGCTGTTGACGGAACCGTGGAGGCAGAACTTGGCTTCGTCGGTCCACCAGATGTTTCCGATAAAGTCCTCGTTTGTGGAATCTTTCAGAAGCAACCAGTCAGCAAAGCGTACTCTAACTGGTGGATCCTGAAGCTGCAGAGTGTGGTGAACTGTCCAGCGATAAGGGTACAGTTTCAGTTCAGTCCTCAGAATGCGTTGCAAAGTCGTCCTAGGTATGCCAAGATTGGCCGAACGTCTTCTGGTCGATTGCCTGGGGTGGTCTGCCACAGATCCTACTACAGCCACAGTGTTCTCAAAGGTCACTCCCGTAGATGGTGGACCAGATGCATCCTTTTGTCGGTTGGTGACAACTCCATGTTCTGTAAATTTCTTCTTAAGGTTGTAGACTGCTTTCCTAGTAGGGGGAGTGATTCCAGGGAATTTCGCTATGAACAGTTGGATAAGAGCTGCGAAGGGGGTATCCTTGGATTCAGAAACAATAAATATCCGTTGCTGGAGAGTTAGTAGAGGCATGATGAGATAATCGTTAATGGTTAATAAATTGTTGCGACTTTTAAGGGGGAAATCTATCCCTGCTATCGTAAAATTCCCATGAGAATTCATAAGATTATGGATTATCGACCGGAAATCTACGTTATCGTTTGTTTTCTTTTCAAGTTTATTTACTCATCTCATGGGAATCGGCTGACCTGCTGTAAACCTATTTCAAACCACCGTTTGTAAAATCGATAAAATTGTAGGCTAATCATCCAGCTATAATTTTAAATTTGTTAAGGCAAGTGAGCAGAACGATATAAACAAGCAGGAAGGATCATCTGTGATAGTCCTTATCTGCAGTTAAAATATAGGATGTACACTGTACAGCAGTGTAGAGAATGGAATGTGCGATGCATCGTGGTGAATAGAATTGGTAAAACATAAATAAATCGGTGGTTTTTTAATTTTTTTACCCAGGATTTTTTTGGTGGTTTCTATTAACCAATGTAAACACTTCTGGGTGAGAAATTCAAGCTAGCTCGCTCAGGGGCTTAATTGGTCAAATAAGCTCAGTGAAGCTCTCAATCACACAAAACTTGCCACAAAGGTTCATCTACTTGTTATTAACATTCTGTGAAATTTAGAAGAAAAAATATTTATCAGAACATAAGTTATGCCACTTTTTGTTTTTAAAATAATTAGCAAGATCTCAGCGACCTGTAACAATTTTAAGAGATAAGGATGGGTAGACTATCATGAGCCACCCTGTATATGTAACTTTAACAATATAGCATGCAGAGCATTGCATAATATAAATCATGTACACATTGAGTTTATATTTAAGTTATAAAGTTATAAGTTGTTATGATTAGTTAATTGGTAAAACTCACCGACACCCCATCCTACGCCGCTAGCACGGTGAGAGATTGAAAGTACTGAAGTGAGCTGCGGCCTGTACAAATGTAAATTTAACTAAACTTTAACTAAAAACACACTACACAGTAGTCACTTTAACTAAACGTTAACTTAATTAACATTGTTTACTTAAACTTAAAAACTATAAATAAAATAATTAAATGTAAAAAGAATATTTTCAATCAGCTTGAACCTAACAAAACATTTGGTTCAAAGAAATTAAATGTATGCAATTCATTAACTATTAATTAACTAATTAGAAGTTTGCAAACTTGTAAATAGTGAGATGAGGTGACATGGGTCTTGCTAGAACTTTCTGTTTTGCAAAGAACTCTTCTGTTCCTTTAACCTTGTACGCTGATGTAGTAGTCAGGAATCTGTAACAATCATTGTTATTTGACCGTTAATTGTGCAATTAAACTATCATGAATTACATACCCTTGCTCTTGATTTCACTACAAGGAATAAAACTTCATGACAATTTGTATAATGTTAATGAAAATTTGACTCTTCGGAAAAATTTCCAGTGCAGTTTATTTGATTAATTAGCAATAGCATGTTAAAATCTTTTAGCTGAAACAAACAAACCAGTATTTATCTAATTATTTGATTGTCTACTTATTTAATAATGTTATTACCTGGCACCAGAGAATGGAGCACATCTCGTCGTACACAGTCGAGCTAGATTCATATTAGCTGGAAACATATCAGTATTATTAACTTATCAGCTATTATTAACTTATGATCAGGTATTATTAAGATGTCGCACAGGGAACTGGGCTCCAGTGACCCCAGCCCTAATCTTCAGTAGGGTACGTGGTCACTGGGGCTGTACAGCTGTACACAGTCTAATTACTTCCTACATCCAGTGTGGATTTAAAACTTGCTATTCCAAATCCAGTGTAAACATATAGTATATAAACTGGAATTCCCAGTCTAATATATAGATTTACATACAGGAATTTCCAGCCTAGAGTAAACTTATAAACTGGAATACACAGTCCGGTACAAATTTATAAACTGGTATTTTTAGGCCAGTGTAAATTTATAAACTGGTATTTTTAGGCCAGTGTGAATTTATAAACTGGAATTACCAGTGCTCCAAATTTAGTTACAACTTTGGATAGATAATCAAGGTATGGGTCAGGAATGTAAGTAACCTTATATCACAGGAATCATATTTTTAATAGCATTTACATACTGGTATAAATCCATCTCTTAACGGTAGTTGCTAAGAAATATTCATGAACAATATTATTTCTAAATAGTTAGCGGAAGTCAAATTAGAGACGATGTTAGGGTATAGTAAAAAGTTTTAAAACTATGACTAACAACGTTACATTTGCAGAGGGTCCATATTTCAACATTTATTTTTATAGGTTACACTAAATACCTTAATATAAGCTACTTGTAATTTAATTTCCATATTGAGTATAAGAGGGTTCGTATTTCTACATAAATAATATGGAATACTTAATAACTAAATAGTCAAATATAAGATATATCTTATTTAACTCTTTCTTAATATAGTAATCCCAAATTATATCTCATGCTTTGCAATGCCACGAAATATAATTTCAAATATTCTCTTTAAGTTTTAATATTAATCTGACATTTGTATACGCGGCTCTGTGCATGAATTAATCTGAAAATATATCAGATAACAGAAAATTGTTTATGTTTATAAATTTAAATTCATCTTTAGTTAAAACGCAACAATCATTAAATCTCAGTATTAATACTATATTATATACGCCACAAACGAAACAAATTTTAGAGCAAATTGTAACGACTTAACTTAAGCAACTGCAACACACTCTGTGTTACAAAGGCGACAATATAAAACAGCACTATTTCAAAACATAGTTGAACTAATTTAAAATCAATACAAACTTGTAACTACCAACTTGAATAAATTATAAATATAAGAAAATAAATTCGGTCACTGAATTAGTAGCAGAGTCTGTGAGATGTGCTATAGCACATAACCAACTGTACATAAAACATCTGTAAAAACACCCCGTATCATGCAGCAAACTTCAGACGAGAATAAAAAGTGCTTTAACCACTCGGGCCCTAATAGTGGTCACATATTCATCTATCCACCAGGCCATCTAGCCCCTCAATGGCCATCTCTCGTTAGACGAGCTAGCAGGCTTGATACTAGGTCTGTTAATGTATCTGGTGGGGTCTATGTTGTGGTTTGTGTGCCGTTGTATGTCTATATTGGGAGGATCATCAGATATCACGTGTCTCTCTGCAAACAGATCGTGCACCTGATAAGAAACAAAATTATAACACAATATTTGATAAGAAACAAAATTACATTAGTCGGTAATATTAGGGGGGGGGGGGGGGGTCTAATTTGGTCCTTTTCGAAAGAACCATATTTATTACTCCATATTTTTACCCCCATAATCTAACCCCCCGAGTCAAATTTTGGTGTTCCTTTTGGTATATCAGTCATAATATGCTTAACGTTTCTTTCATTCACGTCCAGAAGTATGATTACGTTATTGTTTGCTGAATTGAAGCCAGTTCTGGTTCAAAAAGTCCGATTTGTCTATTATTCCCCCTTTTTTTTTCATTTGAGGGGTTAACTAGGAACAATTTCAATTTAAATTTCAATTTAAGTTTCAATTTAAATTTCAGAGATCAGCATCTTCAGATGAATAATAATAATAATACAAGTTCAGCAGCAGCTGTTTCGTTGCATTAAATTTGGTGTGAAAGCGGCAATGTGGTCATTATTGCGAAAAAAAATTGATCAATATTTTCGATTTCGATTTTTTCACAAAAGGAAAGTTAAAATTGTGGAGGTCAAATTTGGTTCTTTTCGGGCCAAAGAACCATATTTATAACAGTCCATATTTTTAACACCCATAATAACAATGCAATAAGACTGCGTAATGAGTGTGTGATTCGTGAATGTTTATAATTAGTTACACTTCAATAAGACTGTGTTTTAGTTAACTTTACAATAAGACTGTGTTTTAGTTAACTTAACAATAATACCGTGTTTTAGTTAACTTAATAATAATACTGTGTTTTAGTTAACTTAACAAATAAAGTGTGTTTTAGTTAACTTAACAATAAGAATGTGTTTTAGTTAAGTTAACAAATAGAGTGTGTTTTAGTTAACTTAACAATAAGACTGTGTTTTAGTTAAGTTAACAAATAGAGTGTGTTTTAGTTAACTTAACAATAAGACTGTGTTTTAGTTAAGTTAACAAATAGAGTGTGTTTTAGTTAACTTAACAATAAGAATGTGTTTTAGTTAACTTTTTTTTAATATTCTCACCCTGCTAATCTCCTCCTGTCGCTTAGTAACTTTTTCCAGTGGGGTGAAAGTCATGTCATACTCTAACTTGTACGAACCAACAAAGTCATGGGGCGGATTACCTGCAGGATAATAAACAAATAAGGGAAAGGCTATAACCATAAACTACGCTACATTGAATACTATATAACTAAAATTGTAGTAGTGAAATTAAACTGAATTTTTGTAAAAAGATTTTAAAACCCACCTCCCCATTCCTCTGGAGACAACATTCCTAAGTACGGCTGACCGTCTTCTCTTTGGTACAAATGATACACTTTCCCTGTAACCAAATTAGGGTGAGTACTCACTACTCAGTTACTTAGTTATTGATAAATAACACTGTTTGATTGCAATCTAACACACTTTAAGGGGAGATACACCAAAACCGTTTTTGCTCCGAACATCGATTTTATTTCATATTATGGTTAAATAGACAAAAAGAATAAGATTGCACACCTTCAAAATTTTCTAAAAATATTCCCTTATCGAGAAAAAAATATTTATCTTTTTCGAAAATTTTTAAAATTTGGAGAAGTCTGTCACTGTAATACCGATAGTTCGGCCATTTTAAAAGTTTTTTGGCTGATTTTTTTACTGAACATTACTTACAATCCGTACAAGAAGCCATTGAAAGGATTATATAATTGAACGATAAATGACGAAGTTACAGACCAAACAAGGTCGAAAAAATAAAAATTGAAATTTTTCCCACTTCTAAAGTTGTACATTTCACCAATCACCCGGGTCAGTAGATATCGCTTCAAAAATTCTTGTGAGTGTAGCTGATGATCATGTCAAACTTTTTGGAGTAGGATTTCTCTCAGATTTGAGTTTTAAGCTATGCAATGTGGCCTCAAACGACTTAGTAAAATTCATCGTAAAAAGGCAGATTTAAGGCTTAAAATGCCTATAACTCAAAAAGTATCAGTTTTTTTGAAATGGTTTTTACAGGATTGTAATCAGCTTGGTAAGACGAATTTTTTAGTACGACATTTATAATATTTAAAGACACAAAATTTGTAAAAAATTGTGTACAATTTGTACAAAATTTATACAACACCCTTGTGTTCGAGCTAGAAAATTATTTAAGACAATTTGTCTTCTAAAAGCACCTATTTGGTACTAAAAGATTCGTCTTCTCAAGCTGATTACGATTCTGTAAAAATCATTTCAAAAAAACTGGTACTTTTTGAGTTATAGGCATTTTAAGTCTTAAATCTGCCTTTTTTACGATGAATTTTACTAAGTCGTTTGAGGCCACATTGCATAGCTTAAAACTCAAATCTGAGAAAAATCCTACTCCAAAAAGTTTGATATGATCATCAGCTACACTCACAAGAATTTTTGAAGCGATATCTACTGACCCGGGTGATTGGTGAAATGTACAACTTTAGAAGTGGGAAAAATTTAAATTTTTATTTTTTCGACCTTGTTTGGTCTGTAACTTCGTCATTTATCGTTCAATTATATAATCCTTTCAATGGCTTCTTGTACGGATTGTAAGTAATGTTCAGTAAAAAAATCAGCCAAAAAACTTTTAAAATGGCCGAACTATTGGTATTACAGTGACAGACTTCTCCAAATTTTAAAAATTTTCGAAAAAGATAAATATTTTTTTTCTCGATAAGGGAATATTTTTAGAAAATTTTGAAGGAGTGCAATCTTATTCTTTTTGTCTATTTAACCATAATATAAAATAAAATCGATGTTCGGAGCAAAAACGTTTTTGGTGTATCTCCCCTTAAATTACAACTAAGAAGATCAGTGATTTAATTGTTATTTTTAGTTTAACATGGTGGTGAAAATAGCCTTCAGTGAGGATGATGGTCAGGAATCGTTCCAATATTATATCTAGCTTTCATAATGTTTGAACAATCCTTTATTTGAAGAAGTTACAAGAAAGTAATTATAATGAAATAAATAAATAAATAAAGTCAATTTTTACAGCAGAGCAATATATATCTAAATATCAGATCCTCTGTAATCATAATGTATAAAAAAAGGAGCTTTTCTCTGTGCTGAAGTGAAAAGCAATTGAACAGGTTTTTTTAAGAAAGTTAAACAAGCACTTGATTAAATCATCATTTTAAAATCCAGAGAACCGTTAGCTATGCTACTCAGAACCTTTGAATGCTATTACTCAACTAAACCAAGGCACCACCTTTATCTGTTGTTGAGTGATCCGGTAAGTTGCTTAACAGTCATTTTAATAAAAAACGCTGATAAGATGACTCAAGTAGAAGAATTCCAGATATCCTGTCTAGCTTTCGTAGCCCACACCTATTTTAAGCAGGCTTTCGAAAACTTACAAGACCAAGCATTATTATGGATGAAGGTCACCTCTTGAAGTTCTACCAAATAGCCAGGACTGCTTGTGCATAGCTGAACTAGGGTTACCTATTCTTGGCACCAGGCATCGTCTGATGTAGGCCACCAGTTCAAAACTCTTTGATAAATATACAAGCTTTAGTAATTTCATGGACAGGAATCACCTTTTTTTTGAACTGCGTACTTTTTCACATTTTGCTTATTTCATACGTAACGTTAGGATAACTATTTGAATAAATCACCAAAGATTAAAGATATTTAAATATTCAAAAGCTTTATAAATGATCAGTGTAAGGAATTCACATCTTTATTGTATATTTTATATGTTATAAACTTTATAATCATACTTCATGTTAGCAGGATTAGTTACCGTTTAATCACCAGCAGCACATGATCATCTGCATTTCAAAGATGTAAAAATTTTGTAATCCATTGAGTACATAAACTGATTAGATTTTAAACTTATGAGAAATTACAACGAGCACTACGCGCTATTAACCTTTGAAGAATACTATTGCACATCAAACCAGTGGCAATTACCTGAGGGAAACTATTGTAATCCATGAACGCTAATAATTAGTTGTAAACTTGAAGATCACCACCCCAACCCATTAACAACATTGAGTAAATATTGTATATCAACCGTGCATAATTTTCTTAAAGCGCTTTTCCCCTACCGAAAATATTCGCACTGTTGGTCCCATCCCCTTAGGACCCCAAATAACAATTAGTTTTTAAGGAATGATCCTGTAAAATTTAAATGTTTTCTACCCAAAACGGCAGTTTACTATCACTCACATCGTTAGTTTTCAATTGCCACATCCACGAGATTTTGCTTCCAACGACAAACTTAGGGACTCGCTTTCACCCCCCCCCCCCCCCCTCCGCACAGGGCCCTTTGTTACGCCACTGTATCAAACTGTTAGGGATTGTTATATGAACCAATAGTATGTAAGTGGCTTGTAGAAGATAAGGGGAGTCTGAAATGACTAAAATCTGAACAATCCCTGAACAAATACTGAAAAGCTATAAAGCCATTGTCATGATCTAGTCAGTCCATGGTTAAAGATGGCCTACATATCAAGGAAAGACCATGCCACAGCACAGCTCTACACTCTGCACGAGGATGAGAAAAAGTAAAATACAATTTAAGTAAAATACAATTTTTATTTTCCACAGATTATTAAATCTAAAATAGCTAATAATTTAATAAATTATTAACAGGCCCCTTAACGTGGGCACAGAAGAATCAATACATATAGAATTATAAATATCCGATTGAAAAAGAACCAGTACATGAACCGAGTGCTACATTTGAAAAAAAAAATCAAAATCAAAATATAATGACACAAACATCATCACAAATCATCAAAAATATATCTACTAAAGTTTTAAAATTATCTAAAATCTATTGGCCTAAACAACCAAGTTAAAAATGAATCTAATCTACATACTTTCCACTACTATATAAGTTGATAAAGCGATATGAGGATTACACATAAGATATTCATTGTGCTTCTCTTTATTAGTAACATAATTTAATATCTCAATCTTTCCTAATACTTCGTCCGAAACATACCAAAAATGACTATCATTAACAGATCCGTTTAAAATAGTCTCCTTTTTTTGCAGAAGGGTCATTCGTCCCCCTTGTATTTTACCACTACAGGAGAAATGGCACCTGAGGCCAAGCGTTTCATAAGAAGACTTGCTGTGTTGATAGCCACCAAGACCAAGGAAGACTACAGCCAGGTGATGAGTAACATCAGGACTCGCCTGAGCATGGATGTAATGAGGAGTGTGCTAGTAGCAGTTAAAGGTGTACATGGAAAGGCAAATAAGGCAAATCATCGTTTGAATGTGGGATAATTTGGAAAAACCCAACTAAGGTACTAACAAAACTGCACGTTTTGCTCTAGAAACACACTTTTTTAGAGATTTTACCGGGGTATCCTCTTACATCATTTAATTTGTCCAAGTTAGGGAGGGGCTTCAAAAGGGAGGTGGCACCAACAGGCTAGGGGGTGCTTTTTCAGCGGGGGCGCCAACAGGCAACATTACGCCACTGTCAAATTGGATTGAAAAAACAATTTTCGCTATTTAACAAAAGATCTGATAACAACAATGGTGCACTCCACATCAGTGAGGATTAAAACTTAGTTTATAATCAAAATACACATCAAAGCAAACTAGTTAGACAGAGGCAAAAGGTATTTTGAAATGCAACAATACCGCTGGAAAAAAGTTATTTTTGATAAGATATGACAATATTTTAGCGCTCGATTTTCAAACAAATTTATAAGCACACACAAATTTTAACTATTAAGTAAAACAAAATATTTATTTTGGATTTTTGACCAGTAAAATTCTAAAATAATGACTCGATTTTAATACTTTTAATACTTTTTCTATTAATTTAATTATTGTAGCCAGAACGACAAAGGGTAGTTTCCACCATAGCATAGTGAAACTCAACCGTGGGGGTTACCTGGGGACCTCAGGCTATCATGTTCATTTTCACATAGCCATGTGCCTACGCGTACTGCGTGACGCGCCTGTTTCACAAGTAGGATAGGCACATACAGATCAGCACACATAAGATGGTACGTGTGCGCGCGCGCAGTGCTGACAATTGCGTCGTATTTAACCCCGGGTGCACGTACATCGTGTGCGATTATTTATACTTATCGAAGGCTATAAATGCCTCTTGTTTATTTTAATTTGGTATTGTTCACTTTTAGACGATAAAATACAGGAATTGCGGTATAATAATACGAATAATTAAGATTGTAAGATCAAAATACATCACGAAACAGTATTAACTACCTCGCTACTTATCAACTTATACTATGTACTATGCGACAAAGATACACAATGCAATATTTATATACTTATAGAATAAACGAAACACAGTATTCAGTATTTACTAGTACTACCCCGCTACTAGTAGTAGTACTACAACTTAATGCGACAAAGGTCAAAGATATTGTATAAAATATAACTAAATAAACAATACGGTGCCCATGCCTGAGCTTTATAAAACTGGAATCACTTCTCAGATTAATTATTTTGCTTCTCAAAAACAATTACAAACTAACAATTTTCGACGTTAAACAGCTACATTAAACATTAACATTACACTTCACAATCCGAAAGAAAGGGGCTCGTCGCTGCAGGCCTGACTTTGACTTGCTCCTGAAAAAGTACATGTCATTTAGGTACCGCGACAATTGTGAATTGACCCCCCGACAATTGACCCCCTATGTAATTACACTGGGGTCAATTGTCGCGAAATCTAGGATTTAGTACGACAATTGGCCCCCCGAAAATTGACCCACCAACAATTGACCCCCTACCTATGTAATTAAACTAGGGTCAATTGTCGCGAAATCTAGGACTTAGTACGACAATTGACCCCCATGTAATTACACTGGGTCAATTGATCGGGTTAGGGTCAGGGTCAGGGTCAGAGTCAGTGGTCAGGGTTAGGCCTAGGGTTAGGGTTAGGGTTAGGGTTAGGGTCCTGGGTCAGGGTCAGGGTCAGGGTCAGGGTCAGGGTCAGGGTCAGGGTCAGGGTCAGGGTCAAGGTCAGGGTCCTGGATCAGGGTCAGGGTCAGGGTCAGGGTCAGGGTCAGGGTCAGGGTCAGGGTCAGGGTCAGGGTCAGGGTTAATTGTATTATTATTAAATTATATTGTCGGGGGGTTAATTGTCGGGGGGTAAATTGTCGCCCACCCGTCATTTAATGTAATTACATAATACAATATAATACATAATACAATGTAAATGTTGCTGTTACAAAATGTATAGCTAACATAAGCGAGCGTTCATGTATGACGTCAGCAGCCGAGGGAAAAGGGTATTTGGAAATGCTGACGGTTGCTGACAGGAGGGGGAGGTATGAGCCTTGTTAACGTCAACAAAAATACGTGAATTCAAATCAATTTTATTAGCAATAAAACGTCACTAATTTCCTTAAAATTAGTACTCGAACTGAACTCTGGTGACCAACTGCTTAAATCAGTCACACACTAATTTTCCCTGCCTCATGCCTACTACTGGAAACTGTATCTCCAGACAAGTGTCAGACGATACTATGCATTGGTTGCTCTTCAAAAAGGTTAGCAAAAAGATAAAGAGTGCGACCCTGATAAACTTTTGGGAGAGATTCATCGACGACATATTTGGAGTGTGGATGGGGACAGCGGGACAATTTACAATGTTTGTCGAATTGTTGAACAAACTGGCTAAATCAAACTGGCAGAACCATATAGAATCAATGTTAACTTTTTAGACCTTACCTTGAGCTTGGACTCAGAAAATCAGATCTGGTACAAGCTATTTAGAAAGGAAACAGATGCTAGGAACTACTTGAGATCAGATACATATGTAGTTTCCAACCCCAACATGTGTAGAGGACCTGGGCGAACTAAAGGAGGATCTTGCCAGATGCGGACACAACAACAACGGTGACAAACTAGAAGAAATCGAGCCGAAAGCAATACAGAGGTCTATTGAGAACCCAGGAAATCCAACCAGAGACACTGAGGATAAGACACAACAGAGCCTCGTATTTTCCGTACAACACTCTTGATAACATTAGTCTTACAAAGTTGGTTAAGAACTTAATCTGGTCATTAAGCTACTAGGTTAATGTTATGTGGGGATGTACGGATAGTATTTGCCACTAGGAAACACCCTTCAATCGGTAATACACTAGAAAAGAATCGACAACTGGGACAACTGGAAACCCTTGATGTAGGACAATTACAGAGGTGTAATGGACCTAGCTGCAAAATTTGCCCCGTCCTCTTTGACAAGGACTCAAAAGATCATGGTCAACAACATAGAACTGGTGCTAGACGGAACTCTAAAATGCAAGGACAAGCATGTTATCTACCTTATTGGTCATAATTATCACGGACATTACTTTCACACTGAAGACCTCAGCGTGAATAATTATGTCCGTGAAAATAATGTCTGTGGTATTAAGGTCCGTGAATAATAAAGTCCGATAATTATTTCCATTAATTTTAGTGTGCGTCCCACATAGGCGTAGATATGTCTGTAGCCGATTACTATATTAGCTAATTAGTATACTAGGACAAATATAATCACTCCTCAGTCACATTCTAGAGTTCAGAAAAAGAGTATAAAACTGAATATTAAAAACTGGAGTTATTTCAATTTTAAAGGAGTCATTTTGGCTAGTATCCCGAACCGAGATATTATATGTGCAATTTTTTTCATGGAAGCCTTTTTACTTAGTATCCACTACAGGCACGTAGCCAGTAGCCAGGATTTTTCTTTGGGGGGGCCCTTGGCGAGCGGAGCGAGCCGACCCGTTCAATCCAGCTGCACAACAAAATTTGTTGTTTTCTTGATTTTTTATGTATGGTGTAAAACAGTGTAGAGAAGTGTACAATCGAAGAATATTTCCAGATTTAAACATGTAACAATTGTTGTTTAAATGCTACCTGAAGCTGTTCAAATGAAATTGAACTGGGAGAATCGAGAAGATTACAAGTCACAGCTACGTACAACAATCAGGGTCAGGAATGAAAAGGGATACGTAGATAGAGTTCCTTATAATCCCTGACTACGACAGGGAGCTGAAGGCAGATCTGGGAGGGTCTGGGCACAATATTATATTGCTATTATATTATCATCTGCACACTTATACTTTAACTTAGCTTAAACTAATTACAACACTACAAATCCATTACATTTATTGAGGATATGAGTATGACGTAGTTATGTCGATACGTTATTCAACTATTTATTTCTATTAGAATCTGTCTTCACTAAGTCTATTTAGAGACAATCAGAAATTTGAATCATTTATCAAGACATTATACTTATACATCACAAAACCTCCGACTTGATTTACAACTTAACTTCACAAACACTTATCATATAATACAAACTTACTCTGTCGGTTATCATACTCTAATTCAAGGCAACATTAGCGTCCGTGAATTGATCTCTGCAGGAGCCCTCCCTTACTAAAACTTGTGTCTTCATCTGCCGTATTACTTGGGAATATCGCCGGTCTCAGCTTCAAACATAAAGGTATGATATTCAATAGACGCCGCTCTGCAAACGTCACCTGAAAAGGGATAAGTAGATAGAGCTCCTTATAATCCCTGACTACGACAGGGAGCGGAAGGCAGATCTGGGAGGGTCTGGGCACAATATTATATTGCTATATTATCATCTGCACACTTATTCTTAGTTTTAAACTAATTACAACACTACAAATCCATTACATTTATTGAGGATATGAGTATGACGTAGTTATGTCGATACGTTATTCAACTATTTATTTCTATTAGAATCTGTCTTCACTAAGTCTATTTAGAGACAATCAGAAATTTGAATCATTTATCAAGACATTATACTTATACATCACAAAACCTCCGACTTGATTTACAACTTAACTTCACAAACACTTATCATATAATTATAATACAAACTTACTCTGTCGGTTATCATACTCTAATTCAAGGCAACATTAGCGTCCGTGAATTGATCTCTGCAGGAGCCCTCCCTTACTAAAACTTGTGTCTTCATCTGCCGTATTACTTGGGAATATCGCCGGTCTCAGCTTCAAACATAAAGGTATGATATTTAATAGACGCCGCTTTGCAAACGTCACCTTATCACCTACCTGAAACAGATTTTAAGATAAGCAACTAAATAAAGATTCGTTGAGATTCTGAGTTTCTGCCCTGACGGCTAACCAAATAAAATTTGGTCGGACAGACTCATCTCGCATATTAGGAAAAGCAGCTGAGGTTTAAGATATTTACCTTCTTTCAGATTTCTTTTTTAGACTGAACTAAACTTTAAACGATAACCTCTGAATGATCTGAACAACTAACTTTAAGGACATCGATCCTAAGAAATGGCCGTTTTTAAAAGCTTTGAAAATTTCAAAGGGTCTACACAATGTCAATAACGCGCGGCCGGCTGGCGCTAGATATTGTAAAAGGCTTACGATTTTTTCCTTTATTCATCAGAAAGTCAATGTGGCAGACATAAAGAGCTAAAACTCTGTCAAAGCTTCTAGATCAATCTTTCGATACTGTTTAGGTGGGAACTACGGAATTTGCAACGATTCAGTCAAATCTAACGATACTATTACACGATACAACGATATGTATTACTAATGTGTAATCACAAATCGCGCGTTATCGCACTTTGGTATGAGAAATCAATAGCCCCACGAAAAACCTCACCGAACCTCCACGCGGTGTGGGGTGGGTGGCTCGAACGGGAGGTGCATGGGTGTTTCTAACCTATGCAAAGGAAGGGACTAGCCATCTCTACAACAAGGAAAGGCTCTAATAGCCTCTACTAACCTTAGAACCGCAGCATAACCGCTTTTCACACAGGCAAATAACACCTTCCGCAGGAAACTAACACGCTCACATGCCCCCACATGACGTGTAACCCCAGGATTTGGTTTTGGATCAGACACTGAAAACAACGATAGAGGAGCGGTCTACACGCTCACAGGCTACCATGTCTCGTGTAACCCCAGGATTTGACACGTTCACAGGCTACCATGTCTCGTGTAACCCCAGTATTTGGTTTTGGATCGGACACTCAAAACAACGATAGAGGAGCGGTCTACACGCTCAAAGACTACCACGTCTCGTGTAACCCCAGGATTTAACACGCTCACATGCTACCAAGTCTCGTGTAACCTTAGGATTTAACACGCTCACAGGCTACCAGGTCTCGTGTAACCCTAGGACTCTAACACTTAACAGACTCTAACACGCTCACAGGCTTCCACGTCTCGTGTACCCTAGGATTTGGTTTTGGATCGGACACTTAAAACAACGATAGAGGAGCGGACTACACGCTCACAGGCTACCATGTCTTGTGTAACCCCACGATTTTACACGTCCAAAGGCTACCACGCCTCGTGTACTTAGGATTTGGTTTTGGATCGGACTCAAAACAACGATAGAGGAGCGGACTACACGCTCACAGGCTACCATGTCTCGTGTAACCCTAGGATTTAACACGCTCACGCCTCACAGGCTACGACGTCTCGTGTAGCCCTAGGACTCTAACACTTAACAGACTCTAACACGCTCACAGGCTTCCACGTCTCGTGTACCCTAGGATTTGGTTTTTGGATCGGACACTCAAAACAACGATAGAGGAGTGGTCTACAATGACGTTATAGGAACATTGCATACTCCTACGAGTTGCATGTAGCAGGCCATGACCGTCCCTGGAAGTCCCTGTCTCCTCATCGTTAACCCGTAAGGGGTTGCACCAGGGGCGGTGGTAACAGAACTTCAAGACTCTCGGAGTCTGTTGTCGATATCTATGTATAATATAATTATGGTATATAACTTGGGAGTCTCTCTCTCTAGCAGCAGGAGTTGGAGAATGGGGACGCGTTGTGAAAGCCACCGCAAGGAAGGCTTACAGTCGACGCCGACCAATCAAAAGAAGAGAAATCAATAATAGTGTTAATTCTTCAGGATGGTACACTTTATTCCATCTAGTGGAATGGTCATGGTTCTCGACAATAAATTAGAAGTCAGTTAAATATTGAATCTTTAATCTAAATATAATTCTAACCAGAGTATAGGAGGTGCTATTTTCAGGTCCGTCTAGATCTCTGATAGGAAAAGTTAGTGGATCACTGGATCCGTCCCTGAAGTGAAACAAATGTTACTATCTTGCAAATGTTAACCATTTTATTTCGATTAGAATCGAATTTAACATACTTAAACTTGATATGATGTAATAATGAGGTACGTGTAAAAATCAAGGGTATCCCTCGACTCTCGAGCCAGTTCAGCTTGTGTAATATAACAAAATAAATAGGGAAAAATAAGGGAGAGTACCTGGTGCCATGCTGTGTCAACAGAAGCGCTGAGGATAAATTCAGTGAGCATTAGTTGGAAAGGATTGTCATCAGTTACTGTGTGAGTTAGTGTTGTGGTGGACGAAAGGATAAGCCGCTGATCAGGGATATAGGCCCCTCCTCACGAACTCTCTGCTGTGTTGGCGCAACGAGTGAGACTTTAGGGTGGTCAAAAGATGTGATGGTCCCGTCAAGTCTTGGCGAAACTCAACATAGGTCAGATAGGTAGAAAACAATGCCATTGGAAAACTCTATCCAATGCAATAGTCACATTATAGTCATTTCTAGAAAAAAAATAAACCTGGTTAATGTTGTTTAATGTGAGAGAATAATATAAAAGAGTCGACCAATTTTTGTCAGTGTAAATATTGTCAAACAGCGGGCTCCAAAATCGTCTAGGGGGAAAGAGCCCTGAATATCAGCTATCTGCCTTAGTACCTTGGCTCTAAAGTCTAAATTATGCAGCGATGACGACATAAAAAGTCGCTGTATTATGGCAAATCTTGCTTTGTCAGAACTAAAAGAAGGTTTAGGAGCAAAGTAAATATCAGACTTAAGATATGAAAGCACAGAAAGACTGAGTCAAATGTACAATTGTAGCTGCTGTCAGCTATTCTGCATCAAATAAAATATTAAGGGGCCATCTACTTAGGACGTCCAGCAAAAAGGGAGGGGGAGGTGGTTTTGGAATTTCGGACAAATCCGGACAGTGATAGGGAGTGGTTTCTGAAAATCCGGCAGAATTAACGAAAAAGTCGCATTTATTTCAACTCTTTGACACTAATTACTCAGTAAGTTTAGATCCCTGTATTTTGAACGAGAATTCGTTTCCCAGAGCAGCTCATGAGAGCCGAGACACAACTCGCATATTCTGCTACTGCCTTAAAACTTATTCCATTGGATGGCTACCTACTTAAGTACCTTAATGTAACTGTGCTAAACTTGTTCGACACTAAATGTATTATTGTCTATTCTAAGTGACTACACATTTTATTAACAATGAATTTGAGTTGGTTTTATTTGTACTCTTTAAAGTAGCTGGAAATCCGGACGTCCGGGGGAGGGGGTTTGAAAATTCGGACACACCCGGACAGGGGGAGGGGGTGCTCCCCGGGGGTGGTCTGAAAATCTGCAATTTTGACGGACGTCCCAAGTAGATGGCCCCTAAAGTCTAAACAAAAGTTCTCAAAACGTACACAACGAGAGAGTGTCGACCTACATGTCAATGAAACAGACTGTTTCATTGTTTGAGACAACACGTGTGTTTGCGCGCAATTCTGGAATAATCCGAGAGATGAACTGTAGCGAGTGTAACTTTAGTGTGCAGATGAGTGTGTACTTCGATGTATACTATTTCTGCACGTACAGGATCCTTTGTAAGGGGTCATTCACATATTTAGTTATCACTCGCTAAGGAAAAAGGGGTGGGGGAATAGGACATGGTTTATAATACACGCTTAACATGTTACTGTTTGCTAACCAATACAGCAATACTGGGGTAGGTTCACCGATAGTGTTTCTCAGAGATATAGATGGCTGTAAATTATGCTAATAAATATATAAAAATAAATATGGTCAAATGTTAAACAATGAGATGATTTAAGAGAAGCAAATATTAGTGGACTGAAATTATAATCTAATAAAGTGCAGCTGTGAACTCAAATGTATAAAACAAACTCACAATTCGGATCGAACAGTTTTATTTAAAATGAAACACAATAAGACAGAGTAATTGGTAAAATGTTAAACAATAAGCTGTTTTAAGACAAGAAAATATTAGTCGACTGAAATTATGATCTGATAAAGTGCAATGTGAACTCAAATGTATAAAACAAACTCATAACGGATCGAACAGTTTAAAATGGAACACAATAAGACAGAATAATTGATCAAATGTTAAACAATAAGCTTCACTTATAGTGTTTCTCAGAGATGGCTGTTAATTTATGCTAATAAATGTCCACTTTTTGGACTGGAAACATGATTGTAGGGAATAAATCAATAATACTGTTTGCTAACCAATATTGGGGTATGTTCACTTATAAGTGTTCCTCAGAGATGGCTGTAAATTATGCTAATAAATATCCACTATTTGGACTGGAAATAATTTAGGGAGTTAATCAATAAAATACTGTTTGCTAATCAATATTGGGGTAGGTTCGCTTATATAAGTGTTTCTCAACAAAACACTTGTCCAAAATACAATTAAAATTAGAGAAAATTTACACCTTGACAACATTTAACAAATGTACTATTGCAAATGACAAAAGTGTAATAAGGTAACTGGTAACAAGTCTGCTGGTTATTCAAAATTTAACATTAAAATATGTCCCGGCCCTTTGAATCATTCGCCGAATGATCAACTGTATGATTGCAACAGACAAAGAAACAAGCAAAATTTGTTAAATGGAGTGCATGATCAAAGAAGGTATATTAGCTCCCTACAAAAATCTAATCCAATGAGAAAATAAATCTAAAGTCCAATTGCAAATGACAAAAGTGTAGCAAGGTAACTGCAGGTAACAAGTCTGCTGGTTATTGAGAATTTAACATTATAATATGTCCCGGCCCTTTGAATCATCCGCCGAATGATCAACTAAATGATTGCAACAAACAAAGGAACAAGCAAAATTTGTTAAATGGAGTGCATGATCAAAGAAAGTATATTAGCTCCCTACAAAAATCTAATCCAATGAGAAAATAAATCTAAAGTCCAATTGCAAATGACAAAAGTGTAGCAAGGTAACTGCAGGTAACAAGTCTGCTAGTTATTGAGAATTTAACATTAAAATATGTCCCGGCCCTTTGGATCATCCGCCGAATGATCAACCGAATGATTGCAACAGACAAAGAAACAAGCAAAATTTGTTAAATGGAGTGCATGATCAAAGAAGGTATATTAGCTCCCTACAAAAATGTAATCCAATGAGAAAATAAATCTAAAGTCCAATTGCAAATGACAAAAGTGTAGCAAGGTAACTGCAGGTAACAAGTCTGCTGGTCGACTGGAAATAATTTAGGGAGTTAATCAATAAAATACTGTTTGCTAATCAATATTGGGGTAGGTTCGCTTATATAAGTGTTTCTCAACAAAACACTTGTCCAAAATACAATTAAAATTAGAGAAAATTGACACCTTGACAACATTTAACAAATGTACTATTGCAAATGACAAAAGTGTAATAAGGTAACTGGTAACAAGTCTGCTGGTTATTCAAAATTTAACATTAAAATATGTCCCGGCCCTTTGAATCATCCGCCGAATGATCAACTGAATGATTGCAACAGACAAAGAAACAAGCAAAATTTGTTAAATGGAGTGCATGATCAAAGAAGGTATATTAGCTCCCTACAAAAATCTAATCCAATGAGAAAATAAATCTAAAGTCCAATTGCAAATGACAAAAGTGTAGTAAGGTAACTGGTAACAAGTCTGCTGGTTATTGAGAATTTAACATTATAATATGTCCCGGCCCTTTGAATCATCCGCCGAATGATCAACTGAATGATTGCAACAAACAAAGGAACAAGCAAAATTTGTTAAATGGAGTGCATGATCAAAGAAGGTATATTAGCTCCCTACAAAAATCTAATCCAATGAGAAAATAAATCTAAAGTCCAATTGCAAATGACAAAAGTGTAGCAAGGTAACTGCAGGTAACAAGTCTGCTGGTTATTGAGAATTTAACATTAAAATATGTCCCGGCCCTTTGAATCATCCGCCGAATGATCAACTGAATGATTGCAACAGACAAAGAAACAAGCAAAATTTGTTAAATGGAGTGCATGATCAAAGAAGGTATATTAGCTCCCTACAAAATTCTAATCCAATGAGAAAATAAATCTAAAGTCCAATTGCAAATGACAAAAGTGTAGTAAGGTAACTGGTAACAAGTCTGCTGGTTATTGAGAATTTAACATTATAATATGCCCCGGCCCTTTGAATCATCCGCCGAATGATCAACTGAATGATTGCAACAAACAAAGGAACAAGCAAAATTTGTTAAATGGAGTGCATGATCAAAGAAGGTATATTAGCTCCCTACAAAAATCTAATCCAATGAGAAAATAAATCTAAAGTCCAATTGCAAATGACAAAAGTGTAGTAAGGTAACTGGTAACAAGTCTGCTGGTTATTGAGAATTTAACATTATAATATGTCCCGGCCCTTTGAATCATCCGCCGAATGATCAACCGAATGATTGCAACAGACAAAGAAACAAGCAAAATTTGTTAAATGGAGTGCATGATCAAAGAAGGTATATTAGCTCCCTACAAAAATCTAATCCAATGAGAAAATAAATCTAAAGTCCAATTGAAATGACAAAAGTGTAGCAAGGTAACTGCAGGTAACAAGTCTGCTGGTTATTGAGAATTCAACATTAAAATATGTCCCGGCCCTTTGGATCATCCGCCGAATGATCAACCGAATGATTGCAACAGACAAAGGAACAAGCAAAATTTGTTAAATGGAGTGCATGATCAAAGAAGGTATATTAGCTCCCTACAAAAATCTAATCCAATGAGAAAATAAATCTAAAGTCCAATTGCAAATGACAAAAGTGTAGTAAGGTAACTGGTAACAAGTCTGCTGGTTATTGAGAATTTAACATTATAATATGTCCCGGCCCTTTGAATCATCCGCCGAATGATCAACTGAATGATTGCAACAGACAAAGAAACAAGCAAAATTTGTTAAATGGAGTGCATGATCAAAGAAGGTATATTAGCTCCCTACAAAAATGTAATCCAATGAGAAAATAAATCTAAAGTCCAATTGCAAATGACAAAAGTGTAGCAAGGTAACTGCAGGTAACAAGTCTGCTGGTCGACTGGAAATAATTTAGGGAGTTAATCAATAAAATACTGTTTGCTAATCAATATTGGGGTAGGTTCGCTTATATAAGTGTTTCTCAACAAAACACTTGTCCAAAATACAATTAAAATTAGAGAAAATTGACACCTTGACAACATTTAACAAATGTACTATTGCAAATGACAAAAGTGTAATAAGGTAACTGGTAACAAGTCTGCTGGTTATTCAAAATTTAACATTAAAATATGTCCCGGCCCTTTGAATCATCCGCCGAATGATCAACTGAATGATTGCAACAGACAAAGAAACAAGCAAAATTTGTTAAATGGAGTGCATGATCAAAGAAGGTATATTAGCTCCCTACAAAAATCTAATCCAATGAGAAAATAAATCTAAAGTCCAATTGCAAATGACAAAAGTGTAGTAAGGTAACTGGTAACAAGTCTGCTGGTTATTGAGAATTTAACATTA